TATGAGGAAAGTTATGGAAGTTGAAGGGCAAGCATCACAATCACATTTACAAGGATAGGCATATTGCATGTATCTTCCCTGTGCTGGACAGGCGTTGTGTACAGCTATGTAGGGCACATGTGCATTAAGCTGGCCTTAATTGTGAAGGTTCTGTGGTAATGAATGGTGGAAATGCTATTCATAAGGAAAGGATGGGCATTTCTACACACTCAGATGGTCTGTGGCTGGGAGCATGGCAGAGGCAATCTTGGGCATCCATGGAGATGTTCCTGTATCACTGGGATCCCAGATTTTCCTCACAAAGGTCACAGCCTCTACAAAATAGACATGCATTGGCTAAGCATTCCAACATCTGTAGAGCTCTCCCACTGTAACTACAAGGCCTTCCCAGCCCACATGGCTAGGCAATGATTCTGCCTTCTATCCAAGAAGATAAAGGTCTTGCCAGCACTCTCAAGGTCCTGGTTTACTTAACCATTCACTGTTTGCTAATGGCTGAATGGCGTCTTCCAATTTCTCAAGGTCCTTCTGCAGGTAGTAATGCAGATCAGCGATAATCAGTCTACTCCGCTCTTTGTAGGCACTTTCCCTACATTTTCCAAGGCCTGCATCATCACACATGCCATAGCATTCTCTATCATTGAAGCATTTTCTCAGGAAATCACCTGTAGAAATAACACGGCTAACCACCTACCTGTACACTAGTCAACCTGGTTTACTCCTGCCAGGCAGGTGGTGGTCCCAAATCCTATTTTACCACCTGTTTTGTCAGACTGTTCTTGGTATCAGTGTGTTTGGAGGAGTTCTCTGCAAAGACCAAGATGGGACTGCATGTACAAATTTTATTTCAAGATATGATTGCCAGAGAATGATGAGGGGGCAATTTGTAGTCTATTTGAGCTGTTATAACAAAATACCTGGCTGAGAAGTATGTAAGAGGACTTTGTTTTCCCAGAGTTCTGGAGGCTGTGAAGTTCAACATCAAAATATCAGTAGGTTCAATTGTCTGGGGGCTCATGTCTGTTTCTAAGATGCCTTCCGTGCTGCATCATTTGGAAGGGAGAACATTGTGTCCTCTGAAGCAGAAAATAGAGAACCACAGGACAAACTCCCTCTATCAAGCCTTTTCATAGGGGCACTAGTCCATTCACAAAAGCTCTATCTTCATGACTTGACTCAATCACTTCCCAAGGTCCCACCTCTAATACTGTCACACTGTTTCCAACAGTAAACAGTTTATGTAAGCGTTTCAACATAAATTAAGGAGGGGACAAAACATTTAAAACAAGGCTGGGAGGGTAGCAGAGGAAGGAAAGTGCAGAAGAGGTTTGGTGGAGGTGTCCTAGATTGCCTGCAGTCCAAGGAGGTTGGGGAGATTTTCAGTAACAGACCTCCCTTGGTATCCCTGCTCTCAGTCACTGGCTAAGGCAGTCATGTGAAAACACAGCCTGGCACAAATACAAGAACCTTGCTCCAATAAGAAAGAGATATATTTCCCCAATAGCCCAGATATTTACCCTCCCCTCTACTGGCATCTCTGTTCCTTAAACATTGACCTCTTTTCTCCAAATCTCTTGGGGACACATGGGTTGAATTCAGGTTCTCTGTGGCCCTCTGGATTCTGTCTGCCTTTGTTATATCTTCACAAACAAGTTATGCAGCCTCAACTCAAGCTTGTAACAAAGCAAAGTTACTCTCCTGTGTGTGTCCTCTGATGGCTGGTGAGATGTAGCTAAGATGAAGCCTCACCACCTCCCTGTACAAAAACCTTCTCACGTGTCTCTTTAAGTGCTTGCTGTAGTATGACTTATTGCTAAACTTTGCGTCACACTCTTGGCATTCATAAGGCCTCTCTCCTGTGTGTATTCTTTCATGTACAGTGAGTCTGACACTGGTATAGCCTAAGTACACTCTGGCACACAAAGGCTTCTCCTTTGAGTGTATCATGATGGTGTCTGGTGAGACTTCTCTTCCAGCTGAAGCCTTGCCCACACACACATTACACCGAAGGGCTTCTCCCCTGAGTGTGTCCTCTGGTGTCATGAGATTTCCCTTCCAGCTGAAGCCTCACCCACACTGCTCCTTGCATACAAAGGCTGCTTGCCAGATGTACAAGCTGGTGTTTCCACAGGTTTGACTTCCAGATAGGAAATCCTTGCCCACATTCCCTTTGCCTACAGATGAAAGGCTTCTCCCCGGAGTGTGTCTTCTGGTGGAAGAGGAGAGTTGACTTTGGGATGAAGCTCGCCACAATCCTTGCAATTAAATGGCCCTTTCCCTGAGTGTGTCACTGAGGTCTAAGAAGATTTGCCTTCAAACTGAAACTTTTCTCACGCTGCTTGCACTTGAAGGGTTTCTCTCCTGGAGTGTGTCCTCTGATGTATGGTGAGATTTGGCTTCAAGGTAAGCCTCGCCCTGATCCTGCAGAAAAAGCGTTTCTCTCCCAAGTGTGCCCTCAGGTGCTTGTTGCTCGAGGACTTATCCGAAACCTTCCTTACCTCCCGACATCCATAAGGCTTCTCCTCTGAGTGTGTCCTCTGAATTAGCAAAGTGAAGGTTGACTTCCCGGATAAAGCCTCGTCACAGTCCTGCACACAAAAAGCTTCTCCTCTGAGTGTGTGATCTGATGTTTCACGAGGGTTGACTTCTGAATAAACCCTTTTTATTCTCTACAAAGCGAAAGGTTTCTCAGTGTGTTCTCTGGTGGTAGACGAGTTGACTTTTTGGCTAAAGCTTCGCTCTGATCATACACAAGGCTTCTCCCTGAGTGTGTTCTCTGGTGTCTGAGGAGACTTCTTTCTTGCTAAAACTTTGCTCCTGCCTGCCTTGCGAAGGGCTTCTCCCCTGAGTGTATGTCCTCTTGTGTGATGAGTGTGACTTATTGCTAAAGCCTCGACCACACTCCATAGCATCTATATGAGCTTCTCTCCTGAGTGTATTCTCTTGTGCACAATGAAGTATGACTTATTAGTATGGCCTCACCCACCTCCCTTGCACACAAAAGTCTTCTCCCCTGAATGTGCCTTCAAGTGCTTGTTGTATGAGGACTTATCATTAAACCTTCGCCCACCTCCTGGCATTCCATAAGGGCTTTCTCCTGTGTGTTCTCTCATGCAGTGAGGTATGACTTACTGGGTGTAAGCCTCGTCCACACACTTTGCACAGAAAGGCTTCTCTCCTGGTGTGTCCTCTGGTGTCAGGAGATTTGCCTTGAGGCTGAAGCCTCGCCCACACTCACTGCATACATAGGACTTCTCTCACGTGTCTTCTGGTGCAAAACAATGCTGACTCATTTCTAAAGCCTGGTGACACTCCTGCATGTAAAAGTTTCTGCCTGGAATGTGGCACATGTGATTACTATCATCTTCTGGCTGATCTTGCCACGCTCTGCACACCTGAATGCTCCCCATCTTGAATTTTCTATTCCTTTCAATACTTTGTCTATTTCTGTAGGATTTTCCCTCTGGCCTTGACTAGACTCTATTTCCACTACACTGTTCCTCTTCCTTGAGCTTGCATGTCTTGGGGTGGGCTGAAATGCCATGGGCTTAGAGCTTTCTTTCTCTTGGCCTTCAGCTGTGTCACTCTGGAAGCTTTGATCAGAAAATTGTAGTTGCTGTTGCCTCTGATGTGCAAGTCCAAGACATTGGGCCGCAGGACATGTTCACATATATTCTGGAGAACAGACCAACAATGAGACTGAATCAGTATTGAAAGTCTTCTATCAAAGAAAAACCTGAGACCCAATTGCTTTACTGCTTAATTCCATTAAGCTCATAAAGAACAACAAACATCAATTCTTCTCCAAATTATTCCCAAAAAACACAGACGGGAGGCGGGAGAATTCTTCCTAACTCATTCTGAACCAGCATTATCCTGATATAAAAACAAAGACGAGAACAACAAAAACAGAGAACTACAGGCCAATGTCCCTGATAGCCTTCAAATGGAAAAATCCTCAACAAAATACTAGCAAACCCAATCCAGTAACACAGAAAAGATAATACACCATGACCAAATGAGATTTATCCCAGGTATGCAATCATGATTCAACATACACAAATCAATACTTGTGATACATCACATCAACGGAATGGAACTAAAGACATATGATCATCTCAATATTCCAAAAACCTGAAGCGGGGCGGGGAGGAATTCTTCCTAACTCATTCTACAAGACCAGCATTATCCTGATACCAAAAACAGACGAGAACACAACAAAAACAGAGAACTACAGGCCAATATCCCTGATGACGCTAAATGGAAAAATCCTCAACAAAATACTAGCAAACCCAATCCAGTAACACAGAAAAGATAATACACCATGACCAAATGAGATTTATCCCAGGTATGCAATCATGATTCAACATACACAAATCAATACTTGTGATACATCACATCAACAGAATGAAGGACTAAAAGACATATGATCATCTCAACAGATACAGAAAAGGATTTGATATAATTCAAAATCCCATTATGATAAAAACTTTTGTTTCTTTGAGACAGAATCTCACTCTGTTGCCCAGGCTGGAGTGCAGTGGCATGATCATGGTTCACTGCAGCCTCGACCTCCCAGGCTTACACGATCCTCTTACCTTAACTTCCCGAATAGCTGAACTCCAGGTGCCTGCCTGTAGTCAAGCCACAGGTGCCACTGCCTGGCTAATTTTTGTATTTTTTTGTAGAGATGGGATTTCGCCATGTTGTCCAGGAAAAGTACTCCAAAACTTGTCGGATATATGATTATATGAGCTTTCCTACATCATCTGTATAATTTCTAATTTTTCTGATCACTCAGATAATGAGAGTTAAGTTTGCTGATTCTGTAAAGTTACAGGGTAACTTACAATGGTGTTATTTTGGCACTACCCACATACACCCCACCTTCTCATACCTGCACTGAACCAGCTTTGTCATTCTGCCAGTAACCTCACTTATGAGTTAAATAAAATCCTAACATGTACTCCCATTACATTAAACATTCACACTTTTAGAAGTCAGTGGCAGACAAGAAGCCTTTTATTTTAATTAACTGACAGACAAATCAGCAAGCAATTAATATGGGGGCGAGAGAAGGGAGTTGATAATGGACTGAACATTAGCATTCCCCCAAATTCATATGTTGATGCCTTAACCTCCAATGTGATGGTATTTGGAGGTGGAGTTGTTGGGAGATAAACAGGTTTAGTTGAGATCATGGGGTGAGCCCATGAGAGGACACAGCAAGAAAGTGGCAGCCTGCGAGCCAGGATGGGGACCCTCACAATGAAGCAAAGGTGCCAGCACCTTCATCTTGGAATTCCCAGATTCTAGAACTGTAAGAAATAAATATCTGTTGTTTAAGCCTCCCCGTCTATAATATTTTGTCATTTCTATGATATTTGAGATGACTAAGAAAGGAGTCTCTTCCCACCTATGCAAACTGAGGGAGTGGCACCGATCATAAATCCAAAAGCAGAGACCTCATACCCATGAAATTTCAGACCGGCTCCAAATTTCTCAGTGGATGCCCCCACATTTTTTATGGGGTGGTGAGAAGCAAGGAATGGGAAAGAACTCCACAGTCTGTATGAACCTGCTTTTTTTGGAAACAACAAGACAAAGTCAACAACAATAACCATAAAAAAAAAAATCAACCTGCTAATTTTCTGACAGAGAGTATACTGTGTAATTCCACTTACAAGAAGTTCTAAGATAGGTGAAACTAAGGCATATTGAACAAAATCCGAATAGTGATTTTCTCTGGTGGATGTGGGGGCAGGAAATGACTGGAAAAAGGCATAAGAGTACTTCTGGGGTGAAAGTAATTGTTATGTGTTGTCATAGGGGTCCAGATTACATAAAGTTATGCATATGTCAAAGCTCACTGAATGTTACACTTAAGATTTATGCATCTTACATAAGTCCTAAGAAAAACCACAAAGAAACATTATAATATTACTTATTGATATGCATGCTGAAGTGTTTATCAGTAAAGGATAATGATGGCTCCAATATTAAAGAGCATCAAAAGGAAGATGGACTTATGGATGGAAAGAGCAATGTACAGCTGGATAAGTGATAAAGAATATGGAGCACAGAGGTAAATGCTGACTGTAGGTGGGGGACTGACAGGTGTTCATTCTATAAGTCTTTCAACTTTTTAGTATCCACCAAAATATAATTGTTTAACATTTGCTTCACAAAAAAATGCTGGAAGAAAGAAAGTATTATAGGATGTAAACTCAAAATATACATGCCATGAAATAAGGAAAGTTAAATGAGCATTACAGTCACCAAAAATATCTTAAGAACTAATATTAATATTAAATGAAATATATAATAATATACTATTATTGTGTTTTACAGATGAAATATGATGACGAGGATTTGCTTCAAAATAATCCAGGAATGGGAGATGAGGGTGAAAGTACAGAGGACACAAGATTCCCTGTAAGCCAATAAAATTATAATAATTCTAACCCTGCATGTATTTAATAGTAGGCTAAAATATATAAAGTAAGTCCTACAAAACTTAGTAGATATAGAACAATCCACTATGAATATAGAAGATGTAAAAACCATCTTTTCAAGTATTGCATAGTTCAAACTGCCCTCCCTAAAAAAAATCTGTAAAGACACAGAAGAGTTAAGCAACAACAACAAAAATCTTTATATATAATTGGCCAAGCATGGTGGCTCACGTCTGTAATCCCAGCACTTTGGGAGGCCGAGGAGGGTGGATCACCTGAGGTCAGGAGTACAAAACCAGCCTGGCCAACATGATGAAACCCATCTCTAGTAAAAATACAAAAAAAAAAACCAGGGGTGGTGGTGAGCACATGTAATCCCAGCTACTCAGAAAGCTAAGACAGGAGAATTGCTCGAACCTGGGAGGCGGAGGTTCCAGGGAGCCAAGATCGCGTCACTGCACTCCAGTCTGGGTTACAAGAGTGAAACTCCGTCTCAAAACAAAACAAAACAAAACTTTATATCTTTAAATCTTTGTATCTTTATAAACTTGATCTACGAAGCGTTTCTTAAACAAGACATAAAAGAGACTTCTAAGTACTCGAGGAGAACTGCAGCTAAGTAAGGCTAAATCTGTCCACACATACACTAAACAGAATATAAAGGTCAATAGAAACAGATGACCCTGAAACTGACACATAACAAGACAGAGAAAACTAAATTTATCATTGTCATAAGCAGAAAACTTAACATCACTTTTTAGCAGTCTCCTGTGGTCCCACTGTGAGGAGTGAGGGAAGCCAGTAAAATAGCATGAAAAGAGAAGAGAGGAACACAGGGGCTAACTGTGAACTAAAACTGCTCCAAGAGAGAACAAGTCCACCCTAGAGGCAAGAATCATCATCATCACCGACATCGAGGCAACGATCATCATCATCATCATCATCATGAGTCCTGATCATCATCATCATCATGAGACCTGATCATCATCATCATCATCATCATGAGTCCTGATCATCATCATCATCATCATCATGAGTCCTGATCATCATCATCATCATCAAGTCCTGATCATCATCATCATCAAGTCCTGATCATCATCGTCGTCGAGTCCTGATCATCATCATCATCATCATCGAGTCCTGATCATCATCATCAAGAGTCCTGATCATCATCATCATCGAGTCCTCATCATCATAATCATCATGGTCCTGATCATCATCATCATCGTCATGGAGTCCTGATCAACATCATCATCATCATGAGTCCTGATCATCAACATCATCATCATGAGTCCTGATCATCATCATCATCATCATGAGTCCTGATCATCATCATCATGAGTCTTGATCATCATCATCATCATGAGTCCTGATCATCATCATCATCGCGAGTCCACCAGTCATCATCATCATCATCATCGAGGTCACAGTCATCATCATCATCATCATGAGTCCTGATCATCACATCATCATGAGTCTGATCAGCATCATCATCATCATGAGTCTGATCATCATCATCATCATGATCCTGATCATCATCATCGCAGGTCACCAGTCATCATCATTATCATCATCGAGTCCTGATCATCATCATCATCACTTGAGTCCTAGTCATCATCATCATCATCATCGAGTCACAGTCATCATCATCATCATCATGAGTCCACCAGTCATCATCACATCATCATCATGAGTCCTGATCATCATCATCATGAGTCCTGATCAGCATCATCATCATCGCGGAGTGCAGTCATCATCATCATCATGTGAGTCACAGTCAAGCATCATCATCATGGTCGCAATCATCATCATCATCATCATCATGAGTCGCAGTCATCATCATAATCATCATGAATCCTGATCATCATCATCATCATCATCGACTCCTGATCATCATCATCATCATCAAAGTCGATCATCATCATGAGTCCTGATCATCATCATCATGATGAGTCCTGATCATCATCATCATCATGAGTCCTGATCATCATCATCATGAGTCCTGATCATCATCATCATCATCATCCTTGAGTCTGATCATCATCATATGAGTCCTGATCATCATCATGATCATGAGTCCTGATCATCATCATCATGATCCTTGAGTCCAGATCATCATGGCATGAGTCCTGAACATCATCATCATCATCATCATGAGTCATGATCATCATCATCATAATCATCATCATCGGTCTGATCATCATCATCATCGCCGGCCTGATCATCATCAGAGTCACGATCATCATCATCGACTCCTGATCATCATCGCGAGTCACAGTCATCATCATCATCATGGTCTGATCATCATCATCATGAGTCCTGATCACCATCATCATGAGTCTGATCATCATCATCATCATGAGTCTGATCATCATCATCATCACAAGTCCTGATCATCATCATCATCACGAGTCCTGATCATCATCATGTGTCCTGATCATCATCATCATGAGTCCTGATCATCATCATGAGTCCTGACCATCATCATCATCATCATGAGTCACAGTCATCATCATCATCATGAGTCTGATCATCATCATCATCATCATCCGTGAATTCCTGATCATCATCATCATCATCATCATGAGTCCTGATCATCATCATCATCATCATCATGAGTCCTGATCATCATCATCATCATCATAAGTCCTGATCATCATCATCATCATGTCTGATCATCATCGCGAGTCTGATCATCATCATGAGCCCTGATCAAATATCATCACCATCATCATCATGAGTCATGATCATCGCGCCGAGTCCTGATCATCATCATCATAAGTCCTGATCGTCATCATCATCATGAGTCCTGATCATCATCATATTATCCTTGTGAGTCTGATCAGCATCATCATCATCATGAGTCTGATCAGCATCATCATCATCATCATCATCATCATCATGAGTCCTGATGAACCACTGCGAGTGACTCACGGGGACTTAAGAGGGTGCACAATTCCTGAACCACAGCCCCCTCCAGGCAGTAGCACAGGGGGGATGTGGGGGAAGGAGGAAGGTGAAGTGACCTCTGTAACAGTAGTACTGGCAAAACATTAAAAAAGACAAGGAAAAAAGCTAGAGATTGAAGAAGAAAAACGGACAGGAGGTTTTAAGAAGCTAAAATAGAACTTAAAAACAAATTTAGAAAGAAAAAAAAAACCCCATCAAAAATGGGCAAAGGATATGAACAGACACTTCTCAAAAGAAGACATTTATGCAGCCAAGAAACTTAGAAAAAATGCTCATCATCACTGGTCATTAGAGAAATGCAAATCAAAACCATAATGAGATACCATCTCATGCCAGTTAGAATGACAATCATTAAAAAGTCAGGAAACAACAGGTGCTGGAGAGGATGTGGAGAAATAGGAACGTTTTTACACTGTCAGAGGGAGTGTAAATTAGTTCAACCATTATGGAAGACAGTGTGGCGATTCCTCAAGGATCTAGAACTAGAAATTCCATTTGACCCAGCAATCCATTGCACAGGTATATACCCAAAGGATTATAAATCATTCTAGTATAAAGACACAGGCACATGTATGTTTACTGCAGCACTGTTCACAATGGCAAAGTCTTGGGAACTAACCCAAATGCCTATCAATGATAGACCAGATAAAGAAAATGTGGCACATATATACCATGGAATACTGTGTGGCTATAAAAAACGATGAGTTCATGTCCTTTGCAGGAACATGGATGAAACTGGAAACCATCTTTCTCAGCAGAGTCACACAAGAAGAGAAAAATCAAACACTATATGTTCCCACTCATAAGTGGGAGTTGAACCATCAGAACACATGGACACAGGGATGGCAACATTATACACTGGGGAATGTTGGGGGTTGAGGGGAGCAGGGGAGGGATAGCATTAGGAGAAATACCTAATGTAAATGAGTTGATGGGTACAGCAAACCAATATGGCACATGTATACCTATGTAACAAACCTGCATGTTATACATGTACCCCCAGAACTTAAATTAAAAAACAAAGAAAATCAGTATATATAGAAGAATGAGATCCAAATTATGTCAAAAATTTACATTTACTTATACGGAAAAATAAATAAAAAACAAAACAAAACAAAAAGAAGCTAACATAGGAATACCCTGACAGTATCAGAGAGGGCGACAGACTTAGGCTTGCAGTCGGGCAGTCACGAGGAAAGTCACAAATGGTGAGACTGAGTGGGAGAAAGAAACCTGGCAAGTAGGGGAAGGAGGCTTCCTGGGAGAAGGGAATCCAGGGAGCCCCAAGAGAACCCCCTCACTCAGCAGGGACTGAAGGCAGGGCCAGGTGGTCTGAAGAGCAGCCAAGGAGGCCAGAACAGCTTCAGGTCCCTGGCCTCAGAGAAGCCTCCTCCCTCCTGAAAGGCTGAGTGCCTTGTGCTCTGTCTGCCTGTCTATCCCTCACCTGCACGGGGCCTGGCCGCATCTTCTCTCTTCTCCCCAGGGCGCTTCCCTTGCTCTAGCACCGCCTGATGAGTTCTGGTTTAGAATGGAGAATTCCTGCTCACAGGGAAAAAAACCATAAGGTGACTCCTGGTTGTAGGCTCCAGGGGCCATTTGCCGGGAGCCACCCAGGGCAGGAAGGGAGGAGACTCAGAGGGAAGGCTCAGGAGGACCCTGTCTACATGCTCAGAGTACAAACCCCAGGGGGGCCGCAAGGTGAGGAAAGAGGCCTGCAGGTGCCCAGTGGCAGTCAGTATGAAACTTTACCAAAGGTAGACCTTCCTCAGAATAGAAAACAACATTCTTGTCTCTGAACCTAACCCTATGGCAACATCAGAGGCGCCACAGGTCAAATGTGTTAGGCTCGAGGAAGCCACTGACACCTAGTGAGACCAGGTGGCTGTAGTTCTCAGTGTCACCTCCCTGTACAGGGCTCTCTGAGCAGGATTCAGCAGCCTCCATTCCTTCTGGGTGAAATCCACAGTGACATCCCCAAATGCCAAGAAAGCCTGTAACACAAAACCCAGGCATGCTCACCAGGGACAGTGTTGCACTCAGGCAGTTGGAGGATTCCAGGTTCTGCCACCTGTGCCTGGAGTTCCAAGACCTCCGTCTGCCTGGCCCAGTATTTATGGAGCTGAGTAGTCTTAAGGGGCTTCCTAGAAGCACAGAGAGTTTCAACTGCGTG